GGAGAACTGCGCGGCGAGGTTCTCCAGCACGATTCCATCAGACGCAGCAAAGAAGGCCAAGACGTGCTTCACGAAGTGCTGCTCGCCTTCGTTCATCGTCACCCAGTCCTTGTTGTCCTGCGCCAGGTCGATCTCCTCCGCTGTCCAGAAAGAAGCCTCATGCTTCTTGTACATCTCCCAGACCTGACCGTGGAACTCGCGACTCTCGCTTGCCAAATTAACACTTTGCTCGTGAGAGCTACCGAACAGACTCAGTGCCCGACTTCCGGGTGCTGCAGCGGGAACATGACCCAGCGGCGAGGGTTCTCCTTGAGCAGGGGGTCGTTCTTCTCCAGCTCTTTGAACTCCTCCGAGACTCGGGTCTTCTGCGCTTTGACTGAATGGGTGTTCGTCACCTCGGTCACCTCCAACTCTGCGGCGGGGGCCATCTCTGCCTTGTATCCCTGCGAAGCCATTTCCACGAGCCAAGCAGAAAAGGACACGGGCAAAACATACAGAGCGGCAAATGCCTTGAGCCGAGACCCCGGAAAGTGCCAGACGATCGGCTGCCATGACACAATGCTGCACGCGGCGACTGAAGACGATTCGGACAAATCTGGAGGAGGAACTGATTGGTCTGACTCTCTCTGTCGCGCAGATCCGGCCTCGCTCGTCGCTGAGCTCGCGTCGAGCCTGGCCGGCAGAAGGCTCGTGGAAAGGACTTCGCTGCTGAAGACCCCGTGCCCTTGCCTTATCCAGGTCGAGCCTGAGACCCCGGACCAGGACACGATGCTCCTCAGACACAAAAAAAAAACGCGATGCAGGGGCTCTGGCTCTTGGAGTCTGAGCTTCGGGCATCGAGCGTAGAGTGGAGTTTCTGCATCTCCTCGACTCCCAAACTGCAAGGTGTGCCACATGGCTGCACGGCAGCACGCGCAAACTTCTCTCCGTCTCGTTGAGCTTCTGGTCGAGCTCTGCTCTGTGCTGCCTTTGCAGCCGTCGAGGCGTCGAGACGAGACCACGAGACCCACACAGTCACGGAACTCTCGCCTTTCCCGAGCCAGAAGAGATTGAAGCGAAGTCACCTGCACGTCTATTCATCTTGCAGAGGCGAGGCGTGCCTTCAGCGACACGTCCCACGACCCGCAAGCAACGGCCAAGCAGAGCCTCCGCTTCCAGGGTCTCCACACGGCGCTGGGAACCCTCGGCGCGCTCCAGCGCCAAGCGCGCCTCCGCCTCCTCAAGTCTCGGACCGGAGCTTTAGGGTGATCCAGCACGGGAGTTGCCGGACCTTGTCGCGCAGCTGGTCTTGCAGCTGAAGCACTTCAAGCTGCATGCTCTCCTGAAAAAAGCAATGCGATGCCATGTAACTCTCAGGCCATTGGCAGGATGCTTTTTGATCACGGCATGTGTAGATCGAGGTCAAGACGGCAAACTCGATTGATGCTGTTTTATGCTGCTTTTGTGTAGACACAGACGGGCTGCTCGAAAGATTGCACAGACTCGCTAAAAGCAAAAGCCATTCTTGACAGCATGTTCTCGGCATCCTTGGCGAGTATTTCGCGTTCGCAGATAGACCGCGCCTGACACCATGCAAAATCTCTTTGCAAGCACGAAGGCCGACAGGCACCCGTCGTCGACGCTTACACTGATCTGCCTTCTCGACTTCATGGCCGCGGTCCTGCAGCAAGCTCAATATCAGTACCGGATTCCGTGGCGCCTTGGGTGGAAGAGACGGCCATCGCAAACCGTCGCACTCGTCAGTCCTCTTTCAGCTGCCAATTCTCTTCTCGCGTCTCAGAAAGCTCCCGGCCAAGCTCCTCTCAGATTGAACATTGAGTTTGGATACAGATCAAAACGCCAGGCAGGAAATGACGAGTAGTTTAAGAAGCTGTGTTTTGGGAGGCATCTCTGACCAGAATTAGAACCTGACATAAAGACGAAGTGAATGCAAAAAGCCCAGTTATCCCCAGTTCAGCACATCGGACTGTAGCAGGCTCTCTTTGAACTTGCCCTCTAGCAAAACCTGCCCGAGCCTGCAGCTGTTCCTGCAGCCTCTGCCTCTGCTTCCGCAGGGCTTCCACGTCCGCCAGGGCTTTCTGTGCCTGCTCCGGCTTTTGCTACGAATGTGACTCACGGTCCCCCGGGCTCAAGACGCAATCCAAGCCCAGGCCTCCTCTTCGACGGCCTGCGCCGCTAAGCTCTTTTGGCTTGCCTCAGGTGGCCACTTGGGCCAAAGCTTGCGCAGGGAAGGCGGAGAAGCTGAGCACGCGGGCCGCAGAGGCCTGTGTCTCCAACAATGACAGACGATGTTGGAGCGACTCCTCCAGGGGAGAGTGATGCAAAGCTGCCGAGGTACTTCTGTGCACTCTCCTGCAAAACGCCTCATCGCTCCCTCGTCGCCCCTCGGACTCTCGGACTCTCACAAACAGGGCCTCGTGAGATCGGCGCAGCGCGACCTGCCGACTCTAACGTTCTGATCCGCGTGGGGACTTGGAAAATAGAGCTAACTGGCCAATGCGGAACTCAGAATCCACGACTGCTGCCGCATAACGTTGTGAAAGACTGGCTGGAAACCAGCCTCCTGTTCCAATTCTGCAGCTCGCTGCTGCGCAAAGGTCCTCGATGCCAGGTCAGCTCCAACGGATGAGCGCATGAGCTTTTTCGACGTTTGTTCGGGTTCTCTCTCTTTCTTCCAGGAAGAAACCGACTTGTCCACAAGCTGTTTCGTCTGTCGTGCCATCTGGCGAGAGAAGACATCGCTCCGGAAAGTGTTCGACAAAGCTCTTGGTCCAAGTTGCCGAAACATCAGAGATGTTCGGTTCCAGCTTGAGTGTGGGGTTAAGTGTGTTTTGGGAGACCATCGTGCAGAATGGCGAACGAAAGCTAGGCAGACGGAGGGGGCAGCAGTGAATTGCAAAGGCGAGATGCTGCTGGTGGTAAGCGAATGCACCGAATGACGTGCGGGAAAAGTAGTCACCACTCTGACATGTAAGTTTACCCTCCTACCAACTCGAAAAGCCTTGCGAATCCAAGGAATAAGGTGGGAGCGCCCACCTGCCGTTGCTTAGATCCCTGATTTATTTATCAGGAGCAGGGCCTCTAAACTATCTTGTGAACAACAACAACGACGACGACGACAACGAATACAAGCAAGAAGTTCCTATCAGCACGGCCGTGGCACGAGCGAGTCTGGAGTCCTTGCCCCGTACTTTCAAAGCTGACACAGCTGACGGCGCTCCCCCCTCTGCTGAACTGCGTTCTTGTGACACCAATTTCTACCAGTACCTGTTCGAGTCTCAGGCGCGACACACCTGGGGGCGACGACTTGCGGCACCGTTAAAATATATACGAGCAGAGGAGCACCCGTGTGTCTTCTAGTTGCAGCACACTGCATGGATTCGACGAGGTCGCCTACTCATTGCCCATGAGTGGTCACGTCGACAAGAACCAACCCAAGACATACTTCGACAAAGCACCCGTGTGTCTTCTGTTCCGTGCGGTGTGTACTAGTGTGTACACACCTGAACGTGATCGCGATCTTGGCCATGCGGCCCAGGATGGTTCGATTGGCAGCAGTAGCACAAGTAGCTGAAGCGGCTGCCGGGTCCTCGATGCGGTGACCTGTTCGTTATTCAGCGGAACATCCCACGGCTGTATGTGTGCACTCCGACAACATGGCAGGTTCTGTGCCCATTCCTCCAACTACTTGCATCATTTTGGGAAGAGATGCTTCAACAGAGAACATGTTGCAGCGCCAGCCTCACGCAGCGACTCCCGCTCCTGCTCGGCCTGGCAGATGGGCCGGAAGAGCGCAGCCGAACAGGTCTACGATCCACGGCAGTCCCGCCTCTGCCTTGGCGCGATCAGCCTCCTCACGGAGCTGTGCCACGAGGTGCCCAGAACGCCCTTGCTGCTCCTCAGAATTGAGAGCAATCATGATGGATCGCCGCATCCCTCAAAATCTGGTGCTGGGACGCTAGGACGCTGCTAGGAGCTGCTCCTCCAGCGCTTTCGACAGAGCCTGGATGCGGGCCTCCTGGTCATCATAGAGCCTGGCCAGAACTTGAGATCCAAACTCCTCCTTAAACTTACATCAGACTCGATTTTAGGCTTTAGGGAAGTAAGAAGTCAAGACGCCCTGCAACATTTAGAATATATTCCGCCGGCCTCTGTTTCTGCTCCATGGCCGCGATAGCCCGCTCGTAGGGCTCGAGCCGCAGTTTGAAAGCCTCCTCCTGCCGCCCGAAAACGTCAAGGCAAAGATCTCGAAGTGGAGCTGAGATGAGCGGCGTGTACACACGATGGACCGGCCTGGGCGCGCTGCCTCTCCTCTTTTTCCTCCGCACTCGTGCCGTTGCTTGGCTCTGGTACAGGTGCCGCGTCCTTCCATGGCAAGGCCAAGTCCATCCCGAGACGCCGGCGAGAGCGCAGGTGGCCTGTGCTCGTGCCTGTTGCGGCGTTTGATTTCCAGCACCTGCAAGAAAGGCTTCGGCGCAGCGCAAGCTCCGCATCTGCGCCTCGAGCCCAGATCCCCGGTCCGTTTGCGCCCGGCCTGGCGGCCTCCGCGGGCCGAGCGATCCGGTCGCCCGCAGCGGCCGCAGCTCGCCGGAGCGCTCTCCGCCGGAGCGCTCTCCGCCGGAGCGCCCGGCGCCGGAGCGCCGAGGCCTTCGCTCGGGTCTTGGGCTGAGGCCCGCGTGGAAGCGCCTGCGAAGCCAAGGGTCTGGCGCTGTCGAGGGCCGGGAAGCGCCTCCTGAATGGACAAGGGCTGTTCGGAAGACGACTCAGGCATTCATGTTCTTCTTGGTTTGGTGGTGTGTGACAGAAAAGTCCCAGAAAGCAAGATAAATAACAAGGGATGCATTGCAGCTCCGCCTGCGCTGGGGGCGCTTGTGGAGTGGCCTGACGTCGAATTGCCTGCACGGCTCACCAGCTTGCATTGTGACGGCACGTCGCTCGGTGATGCAAGGCGGATGCACCTGGGGCTTGCTCCTGAACCTGAATCAAGTGTCTCGAAGGCAAAAACATCGCTTCTCACACTACTAAAGGCCCGAGCCACGCAACTCCAAAGACCGGGTTCGTGCATTTGGCAGGACACTGTGTTGGCGGATTCGCGCGCGGACTGCTGGCTTCGCGTATTCGCTCCCCAGAGATTCCTAGACCCAAAGCGTCGGATTCGGGCACCATCCATTGCACTGACCGCGCAGCTTTGCGCACGGTCAGGAATTGTGTCTTATAGAGTCTTATAACAAAACCGAGAAAAAAGAAGCCTCCCAGTACGAGGCCAAAACAAAAGCCGTCGGGGTTCACTCACACAGCACCCACAATCCCTGACCAGGAGCTTCAATTCGTTGCCGGCTGAATAAGACAGATTCACGGTTGAGGCACGGGACATGCAAGCAGCCCTAAACTTAAACCTGACAACGGCCCTGAAAGCCTTCAAGCCTAAAAACTCTAATCTCCAAACCCTGCCAAACCCTACAACTGAACCCTAAAACCTAAAACCTGGAAGCCTCAAGCCCCGAATAGTAAATGCCAACACTCTGGACGCTCGGCTCCCGCTGCCTTGCGACACAATCCTCATTCTGACTCCCCAAACCCCGAAACTTGCAATGCTCAAACCCTGAACCCAGAACGTCGAATACTGAGCCGGCTGTTGCTTGAGTCGCGTGTACACGTACCTGAATTTGGCTTGCTGCTTGGATTGGCAATGCTCGAACCAGTGGCATGCTTCAATCGCTGGTGCATGAATAGCAGATGCTCGAATCGCAGATTGTGTCGCGAGCGGAGTCCTTTTGCCCAATCGGAGACTGTCAACTCGCGCTGTTATGATCCTGCCCGGCCTTCGCTTCCAGAGCCGCATTCAGCTGCTGGAGAGCTCTGAGGAGAAAATCCTTCAGAGGCGCTGTGGGCCATGCGAAACGCCCCCAGACATCCGTCCGTCCTGTGCCCGCATGTCTCGGCTTTGCTTGGTCTCTTGACTTGCCGCCTGCCAGTGTCTGACATTGAGGCTTTGATTCATGGGACCAGATGCATCCACGGAGTCACTAGGGCCCTAAAGGCTCCTGCCTCCGCAGGTACGCTCTGCAGCAGCAGATGCATCTTTGGCGTCTCCTCCAGGACGACAAACACTCCCATGGCAGAGTTCACGGCTTCAGCATGCTTCGGCTAGCAACGCAGAGTGGCCGGTCCTCTGCAGGCTTCTCATCCATCTCGTCGCTGCCATCGTCCATGGCATACCAGACGTCCCATACCTTCCAATGAAAGTGTCACACGACTTCGATCGTTCTGCGCCCAGAAATTCTTGAGCCCTCATGCCATTTCTCGGCGGCAGGTTCGGCAAGACGGTCCACTCGGCCTCCAGTGCGACCAGTTCGCCGATCGGCACCACAACGATGCCTGCACATCGAAAGAAAGCACGCTGCTGTGGTTGATCGTGTTTGCACCCCCGCACCTACCGAGTTGCCCAAAGAATCACGGGCATGAACGTGAATGACGGGCTCGATGCCACCCATCTGACCAGTCACGGTGGGATCAAGTTCGGCCGGAGCCTGACTGAGATTCTAAATTGTATTCTCCGGGGTCCGTGCTGGCAGTAAGATGTTCTCACCCTCCAGAGTGGACGGAACCTTGCAGCACAAAACGATACTGAAATTTCACGTCATGTCACCTCTCCCCAACATTCCCGGCCTTCCTGAAATCTAGTGTTCCGATATTGCAATGAACCAGAGCTCTGGCGGGCTGTAGCGACTCCCCGTCACACTCACCAACAAGCCCAGCTCTAAGCTACGCCAACATCCACCTGAGACGGCCACAGGACACTGCGCTGTTGCGTCCGCAAGCGTCAGCTGACGGGGAAGCAATCCATCAACTACTTGAGTATCATGCGTGCCTTGTTGTTTCAGACCACTTCTGTGCGTTCGTTGCAAAACTTTTGCGAAGCCGTCCTTCTAATATTGCACTTATGCATAAAGTCTCGTCGACAACATTCCATTTTGCAAGTGCTTATCGTGTGGCTCTCACTGGCAAGGCTCCGGCTCCGGTGCCTCACAAGACACATCGCTCAGGTCACGCCCGTGGACAACCTCAAGCACATGGACCAAAACGTACCTGGCGAGCAAGCTCTTACACGTTCAATGCTGCTTTTCGCGATGCCTCTAGAACTACTGTCGACGCTGCTACAGATCCTCTTGGCGATGTAGCAGCCAAAACTGTTGCAACTGCTGTCACAACCATGATCAACCATGACAGCTCTCCCGCTCTCACACAGCTTCCGGATGCTCACCCAGCTGGGCCCTCGCTCACGGCGACCATTGCGAAGGCTGACGACGCTGACTTGACAAGAGTCCTTCACCTTAGTTCTGGTCTTGAACGTCCCAGCACTGACGTAGGCCTTCGGGAAGTGTATTGAATGAGTGCTCAACACTAAATTATCTTGGGCTGGAGTTGTTCATGGGGCGACCTTATGGCCACCCTCTGTGTCGTTGTCGGGTGGCTGTGTGCGCTCAAACAAGTCAAACAGAGAGTTACACTGCTACACTTGATCCTGAAAGCACCGAGCCGCTTTGGACCTCCGGTTTGCAGAGGACGTGAAATGCACGTGACCAGATGCAGAAGGCCCAACAGTGGAGCTTGTCAAGAAGGATGCTCTCAGACGGTGCAAAACCTACATGATGAATGCGGTTTGGCATGAAAGCCGTCAGGTAAGGTAACAAGTTCGTTCGCAGCCAAATGGGTATAACGGGAGGGCGCGGAGCGGACAGCTCACGCCCGTCAAACACGACGACGACGCCATTTCCAGAAGCGATTCCCAAGTCTAATGGAAATGATCGGAGGACGCAAACAGGTAATAAAAAAAAAACAGTGTGCCACAGATGACTTTTTCGACCATTTATGTTAGAACATAACTCTTGCCGCCTCGTTGGCAAGCTGACACCGCGAGAACTTGACCATTTCTAACGACCATTCAAGCTTTGATCAGTTGACAAGCTTTTGCTTGACTGCACGGGTTCTTACAAGGTCACCTCGAAAATTCCTTAAAAAAATGGTAGGAATGGGAACATTTGCTCCGCAGTCGAAACACGCTCGTTGGTAAATTCCAGTACGCCGTTCCACCCATGGCTTACATCAGGCTGCGATGTCCACCAAATCATAACAATCATTCCCTCATCACGATCAATCCTTTGGTTTCCAGAAACACAGCAGCCAAGAGGAACATCTCTAGCAAGAAGTTTCTTGACAACCAAGAAAGGCGATTTGCGGCTCAGACTCCAGTCTAGGCCGTGCACATTACAACATGGACTTTGTTTCTGGTATCTGGCAGCGGGTTCGGTCTTCTCCACAAAAGCCACAGAGAATAAAACACTATTTAAACGTGTTTCAGAGGGTTGAAATGATGAAAAACAAATTACGAGCTCGGTACAGTTAACAATGGGAGAAGCACAATCTCAGCCAACTTTACGATAAAGCAGGACAATGAATCTCAATACACAAACAAAACCTAGACCAATCTTTTTCGATTCCGATGATGACCTCCAAAGAGTGATGCGGCTAGTGGCTGCTGAATCGGAAGCGGCCCGTGGTACTGTGCCGGGAAGCTAGAGCAACACCAATCTTTCTCTGCACCAAAGTCTGTACCAAAATTGTCGGCCTTTGGACAAGAGCCGCCGCAGCTCCTCTGGACTCAACGGGTTGCGGGAAAGAGGCGGCTTTCCATCAGGGGAAATATTCTTGCAGAGCCCCCGTGAGGTGCGAATGTGGACAGTCCAGAATACCCACCTGCTCAAAGGCAGAGGCCCACGAAACACTGCACAGAAACTTGCTGGAGATATCGGACATCAGCTTCAAGAACGCATGAGGATTGAAATCACCAGCAGACCGGCATTGAGTATACCGTTCACGTATGCGGCGCTTCATTGCCGCAAAGTCATGCGTGTCCAGGGGCTGCACAAGACTTGTTAGGCCAGCGGGCACAGGCACAAAACGAAAGTTCAATCTGCGAGCCTCCAAAAGGACATTTTTGGTGATGTGCGGGCTAGCTGTATCCCAAACCAGAAGGACTTTTTTGTCGATTCCAGACAAAGCGGCTTTCAAAGTGCCAAGAATCCACATCATGCTTTCCTCTGTACTCCACGCCGTCTTCGCCACCCGCAGATGCAGGTTGGGTGCTGTGGCTGCTCCAGCTGTTCCTTTCTTTGAGAGCCACCTTCCATTGCTGAGTAAGAATTGCGGCAACCGTGGCTGTAACGTTCAGGAAAGTGTTACACCACGCAGCAACAAAGGCTACGGGCTTGCAAAGCTAAGCGAACTGCAGAAAGCAAACAGCTAAGTGGACAACACAAAGTTCACTCGCTCAGATCCTTTTTTGTTTCGGCTTGCCGGAGAACGACTGCAGCTTCAAAGTCGTGGGACCCGTTCGACCTTTGGCCAAAGCGGGTCTCAGCTGCTACTGTGCAGTCGTTAGCAAAGCCCGTTTCGTAAAGCGGTACAGTACGAACCAACAGCGTGCAAGAAGGAGTGTTTCGCGGGCAGCGTAGCGCAGCCAAAAGCGGAAAAGGCTTGCGCAGATTACGGTGAGGGCGGGTGGGAGTATTAAAGCGGCTAGGCATTTATCAAAGAAAGCCGGAAGCCCTTCCTCACCCCCCTACCGCAACCGCACCTATGCTGAAGCTTACCCTAAGCTGCAGCATACTTGCAGCCAAAGTAGGTACAGCACAAGAGCTCAAGGTGAGGGCGGGTGGAGAAAAACTTTTGAGCAAGCGAGCTAACTGTTGTTGCATGGTGTGTGCTTGAGCGAAAGCGGTGCGCGGGCAGCACTTTCCAAAACAATCCTGAGTAAACATAGGCACTGTTCAGGAAAGTGTTACACCACGCAACAACAAAGGCTTCGGGCTTGCAAAGCTAAGCGAACTGCAGGAAAGCAAACAGCTAAGTGGACAACACAAAGTTCATTCGCTCAGCTCCTTTTTGTTTCGACTTGCTGGAGAACGATTGCAGCTTCAAAACTGGCAAGCCGACACTTTGCTTGATAGCGCTGACTAGAGCCCCTGTTTAAAGAGCCGAGTTAGTGTGGCTCCGGAAGCCACCACTTCAGAAAAGGCATCCTTGGGATGCAGCGTAACTGCAAAGTGGATGTTCTAGAAATCAGAAAGCGATATGCACACGGTTCTGCGGCAAAAAGCGCCTCCAAGAGCGTTTTCGTGTGGCTATCTTTGTATGCGGACAAACCTTTGCCTAGAAACGCCTTTGGCTTCGAGCCTTCGAAACTCCCTTCCTTCCGCCTTCGAAGCCTTCGAAGAAGCTTCAAGTTAGGCTTGTTTCCTTGCTTTATTTTTTCTTTTTTTCGT